TTATGTGGGCGAATGGCGAAAAATGAGCATCGGGTTCGTGATCAGCGCGTCGGATAACCCCCGGGACCAAAATTTTAGAAAATTTCAAATTTTTGTGTTCAACGGTGCACCATGATACCCCCATCATGCTTCATGAAACTCGGAGCAAAATCTACCCCGGAGAACTTTTTTCTGGACCTCTGCGTTTACGCACTATTTCTCTTTCTCTAACGAAACTCGGAGTTAACTCCGAGTTTCGCGCGAGCCTGAAACGCGCACCAAACTCAGACGTTAACTCGCGTAGCGTCTCGCGTGGAACGAATTACGCTACGTTTCCATACTTGGCATAAAGTACGTCTTGCGGGGTATCCTGCCATATAACCCTTTCCCCAATTTAGTTTGCTTATGCAGGTGTTAATGGTCCCCGAAAGGTGCGCGTTAACTCAGAGTTAACTCTGAGTTAACTCTGAGTTTGAGCTGCGCGTTTCGACAGGTTTACTACCGGCCCTGGATTTCACGCTATCTACCAGTCGAATAGTATTCCCACTGCCCTTCACAGTGAACATATTGAACAGGAGCGAGAAGCTGTACAAATCGCATTTTCCAGAATCTTGTATGATCCCCTGATGGTCCCCCGCGGTCGAACGTTTTTTCTTGCTAAGCATGTTGCTGTTAAAGGCAGTGTACACCCAAGATTCCACCTTCAAAGTTTTTGTCATTCTGGGGCCTTTCCGTGCCCCTGATTACAGTTATGACATTAAGATTCTCCCAGCCCTCCAAAAAACCCCGATATCTGGAGACCCTTTCTCCAGAGGGCGGACGAGTTTTGAATTGCTCGACCACGTTGGTGAGGAGCAGCTGCAACTGCACGATAGCCTGCAGTTGCAACTGCAACTACAGCGTATGCTGTCTTGGATTCGTCTTCCGAAAGAGGCGGACCGCAAAAAGCAACTCCAGTGTTGCAAAAGCAGCTGCAACTGCAAACTTAAACTGCAGCTTACGCTGTTGTGGATTCGTCCAGAGGAGGCGGAACGAAAGAAAAGGGGCGTATTGAAAGAAAATTGAGGGTGGTTTTCTCCGCCTAGAAGCAACATTGGGAGACCGGACCACGCAGTTGGTCTTCTCTTGGGCCCAGTATATACATGGTATAGAAAGACCTAGAAAACTGGACAACTTAGATTTTGGGTGTACGCTGCCTTTAAGAACAAATGAGTTTTCGAAAAATCGAATTTTTCGATAAGCCCCAACATTCGACTTGTGGTTCATCGCAAATTTCATGACTCTGAAACATCACTTGGTCTTATCAGAAACATGCTAAGCATTGTTCGGTTAGACGATCAAAACAACTTTGGAATGTTTTTACTGACATCGCAAAAAGAAAAATGACTCTAAAGAAAAGACGGTCGCTAGTTAGGGATCATCAGGGGATAAAACGAAAAGTTGGAAAATGCGACATGTACAGCTTCTTGCTCCCATTCAAGATGTTCATAGGGCTCTCATCACCCCAAGGGACCTGCTTACCGTCGTGCTACCAATTCTTAGAATCTAGGACCTTACCAAAGGGAGGAGAAACATAGACAAGTAAAAAGACACACAACCAATGGTTTACTTTTAAAAAATGGAGAACCATCAAAATGTGATATGAAAAGGCAACTGAAATGCTCAACTCTGTTGCAAAAGCCTACTGGAACCGGAAGAACCGAAATTTCACATATTTAGGACTTTGCCTCCAGGTAGCCTTCAAAAAGAGAGTTTCGATATATTTTTTTTCTTTCCGCAGAACTTCATCGAAGCCGTTCCCATATCTGACTATTAGTTTGCAGCTAAAGCTGACTGCATACTTATACTATCAAAACTTGAACAAAGTAACGATTTGTCGAAGATGAGGTTTTAGGAAGAGAACCTCCGTGCGTTGTTTTCCACCATTTGTCATAACAGTACAAGCAAGTTTGCGCTTGGTTGCGAAAGGTTCACTGCTTTTGATGGGGTCTTCAGTGCACAATTGAAAGTTTTGATAAAGCTATACCCAGCTTCAAGCGCGGTGTGTGGCATGCCACACTCGGAGATTGTATTGAGAGATCAGGGAGGGGAGCAGTCATTATCAAAGTGATTCTGATGTTAGCGATAACAAGTTATTCGTTAACAATGGCGATAGGCCCATCATGCAAGATACTAGCGCAATGAACTTTTGGCCCAACATCTCATAAGTACAGTAAGCGCAATAAAAGATCTATAAAAACATGAGAGCATCGCGTAATCAGCAAGTCAAATAACCTCTGGAGTTTCAGAGAATTCTGAAGTTTCTAACAATTGGGCTACCCAAGTGAGATGGTCATTTTCAAACATGTTACTTTTGTTTCAAAGGTAAGTTAGCTACTTCTTTCTGCACCTAATATAGAGAATTACTACTTTTTTGTTCACATTAGGAATTCTACTTGAAAAAAAAACTCCAAATTAAGGAATAAAGAGCAAGCCAAAATCTGGTTTTGTTTCCATCAGCTTTCACTATCTCAGGCTAGAGAAGACCAATCATGATTAAATCATTTTAGTGTAAATTATGAGGCCTAAGCTATCGAATAAATACATCCTTATCGCCTTCACATGCATTCACGTAGTAGCGCACTCAGCATGTTACCGCGATCCAACAATCTCGCAGCATTTTCCACCTGCATAGGTAAGGAAAAACGACTATATCATTCCTTAGAATAGACGATTTTCAATGAATTTCCTACTATGTAGAGAGAAGGTCGAATAGTAACAACGATATAATCATTATGTAAGAGTGTAGGTTGCCTGTAAGCCAGATGAATCCGCATCTGATCGGGATCCAGGTTCAACAACGATATAAGAAACGCAAGTATTTGAATGGTATGAAGGTAAGTTAACAGAGTTAGTAAGTTAACAGTTTCGGACCGCGAAATCGCGCGCGGCGAAAAAGAGAGTACTACCAGCCGTTAACCAACAAAAGGACCTTAATTCGCTGACTGTGTGCTACATTTGTAATCACCATGTCAGATAAGATCCATACTCAAATTCTGAGAGAATTCGAAGAGTTTGAATTTTATCGCCTGAGAAGGACTTCTGTGCTTTCCTGAAAGATAGGAACAAGAACTTAGTCTAATAGTATCTAAAAGTACCTATGTTGTAAACGGTACACATCATAGTATTGAAACTAAGGTTATTCTCTTTGAAATCGAAGCAAAGAAAAGTTGCGACGTCGCATGCGTCGTTCGCGTTGCCGCACTTCGTTGCAACTGTTGTTCGGTTTGCGCTCATATCTCCTAAACAAATGTCGGCAACACAACTCTACAGTGTCACTTGTAAAGTAGAAGCTTAGGGCTTTGACTTGATAATCTTGGACAAAAGGAAATCCTCCTGCAAACATTAAAAAGATCCTTGAAAGGCGCGTGCTGCACCATGTGCAGCAATAAGTGTGGCACAACCCCTGGGAAGGTGTGGCAGCCAGAACTTTTCAGGGCGCACCCATTAACTTACCTTCAAAAAAGATTATCAAGGAACAAGTTATATACAGTTCCATAGCTAAAATCCCGTAGTTTTTGTGGAAGTGACTTGAGCTGAAATTGTCTTCTTTCTTTTGAGCTATAGTTGCTGGAAGCATAACCACCCCGAGCGAAGGATGGGACAAACAAGATTTTGGCTGACTCCTGATTCCATAATTTGACGGTTATTGGAAGCAGGATGCATGGTATAGGCGAATATGGAGTAGTATTTTCGATTGAGTACAGAAAGACGGAGCTAATTCACTCAAAATAGAGTTGACTATGTTTGAAAATGTCCACTTCATTTGGATGGTCTAATATCGGGAACTCGGAACGCTCAAAATTTGCTAATATTTCGCCCACAAGGGGTTATAATTACGAATATGTCACTGTTATGTTTGTTATAGCCTTTATGTCATGCCTACGGTAGACGAACGAGAATATGACCGGTGGGGGGGGGGGGGGTCGAGACAGAACTTAAAGGCACCGTCCACCCTAAGTTGAGAATGTTGAGCTTTTGGCAGCATATAATAGTAGGGCCTCCTATCAATCCAGTGCCCAAGTCGCGGCGCAAAATGCCGCTTCGGAAGCGAGAAAATCGCTTCGGAGACGAAGATGCACGAGGACCCCCATCCATGCCCGCTCATTTGTGCGCGCTCCTCCAATCACCGTTCCGCAAAGCCGGCATGTGGGTTCTTCGGAACGGGTATTGTTGGGGTTTTTGCGCATTCTCGACTTCATATTCGGAATCAGGGACATGGGAAGGCCCTGAAACGACAAGAACATGGAAGTCGAAAGTCTGGGTGGACGGTGCCTTTAAAGGCAGTACATCGGCAGAATGAGACCCGTGACAAAACAAGGTCACAGGGTAGGAGCCCCCATATGGAACCTATCGGCCAAAGTCCGATCTTTCTCTGCCACTTCTAACCCCCGAAATTTCAAAGCGAAAGCAGCGCTCATCTCCTGTCCTCTCCGAACCCGCCCACCCCATGGACGAGTGACTTACGCGGTCAGAGCGCCAGCCGCAATGCTATAAGCATAAGGTCCCGCAACGACTCTGCGTCTTCGCCATGGCAGGCTTCGCGTTCACTCGTCCATGGGGTGGGCGGGTTCGGAGAGGACGGGAGATGAGCGCTGCTTTCGCTTTGAAATTCCGGGGATTAGAAATGGCAGAGAAAGATCGAACTTTGGCCCATAGGTTCCATTATGGGGGCTCCATCCTGTGACCTTGTTTTGCCACGGGTCTCATTCTGCCGACCTACTGCCTTTAAGGGGAGGGGTCGTACCCGGTGGTTATGTGCCACACCTCTTGCTCAACATTTGCTATACCTCGTCATGACACTTTGCAATACTGAGACTGAATGCATAAACCTACATCCAACGCAAGCGAATGAGCAGAAAAACATTAGTGGCTTAGTTCTGCCACAAGTTTCTGAGCCCGGGCGCTTTCAAGAAGATTTATTACTTTCCGAGAAATAACGTAAAAAATTCAAGCACACCCGAAATTACAGAAATTGAGGATGTCATGAACAGTTCAGCAACCATATGGTAAATTTAGTGGTACCAAATAACAAAATCATCATAAAATAAAAAGTGTTTGGACCGAAAACAGAAAAGGCAGCTAAGATAATCTAACTTTTGAAAGGCAGTGAATAAGAGTAATTTTCCTTAATTGCTAAGTTGTGATTTGCTAGGTTCTAATGAGTTAGAAACCCCCAAAACCACCTCCGAAAACCGAAGGTTATTACACATATTAGCATGCTTCCAGCATGTCTTATCGCAAAGGTAGATGAACCCATAACCAGCACGAAATCCAGTAACGGCAAGTTAAAATCCGAAAGAGCATTGCTTGGTTCTGACAAAGGCATTGTTCCAAGCAGATTTATCTGGACCCTTCAATCAAATCTTCTATGATTCCATACTCGGCTTTTCCTTCGGCTTGTCCTTCATGTCTTTGTCTTTAGAAAGCTCGCTACCGTCCTTAGCCTTCAGTTCGTTCATTTTGCGTTCGACAAACATTGTAGTTGAAGTCGACATCTGCAAAACAACTGAATATGATGAGGCTCTCTCATAAAATATTCAAATAGGCACGCATTAGTAGAACTTTTCGCGAGCAGGGCATTCGATTTATCTGCCCCAGATGTCATGATTGGAATTTCCAGTCAAGTTTGATCTTGGAGGGAAAGCCCCTACCGAAATATGCACAGAATCCACGCATCTTTGTGTAGAAGTATTGAGTCCATCAGGAATTATGGGTGTCATTATAACGAGAGCCTGAAAGAACGTGAACTGTGACTCAAGAATAAGTCCCGCATTTATTTGGAAAGCAGTACCTTCTTCATATTTGTAAGGGCACGATTCAGTCCGATAAAGAATCTCGGCTCTATCTGTGTCTCTATTTTGACGCCGGCAGCCGCATGATGAGATCCAGGACTTCCGCGGTAGATCACTACAAACAAATAAAATAAAGCAAGAAAAAATCAATTTTCTGCTCATTCACAGTATTGGCATCCATAAGGCAAGCCGCTTCGTACACACCAACCACAGCGACGTAGATATCGATAAACAGCATATCTCTTCAGAAAATTTGAACCTCCGAGTTCTTTCATTCGTGACCATAACTCATCTGAATCTTACGTTCTTACTGCTTAACCAGTGCTTGCTTAAGACAAACCAGGCGTAAGAATTCGTTTGCTTTCTGAGACTTCGAGCACATTTGAATCAATCGAAAGAAACACTGTCTCCTCGGGACTAAGATACAGCCGCTCGTAGACTGGAGTTTTTTCTGAAAGCTCTTGTAGTTATGTTTCCTCACAAAAGACGTGTGTACATCATGAATATTCACACAGATAACTTTGATGGTTTTGGTCCCACACAGGCTAGAGTTGTGAATCAGCAATAAATAGCGCAGTGTACTATGAGACGTAAAAAAATGGCAAGTTTCTCAAGAGTATAGGCCAAAACTATCAATTATAAACATCCCTAAAACCTTGAGAATAAGCTCGTTTCTTTAAAGAACTTGATTTTTTACTTCAAATAATGCAGTTTCTGCAAAAACTGCAAGTAAACAAGAGACGTACATTATTTAAAAAGCTCTTGAAAGCTCTTTACATTGACAGAAAACTGTTGGCCAAATCTCAATGATAAATACACCTCGGTCTCACTTCATGCCTTAGCACTTTATCGCACGGCTATAGCGATTTTTTTTTTCTGTACTTATAATAAAATTTCGATCTTTCTACCAAGTCCGTCAATTTTGCATAAATTATTCGAAAGTGCTCCTCAGGTGATTTCGAATTAATGAGAACAAAACCTATGTTCCTGTGTTTTATGACCAGATAGAATTCAAGTCAAAAATCCAAAATTGGACGTACTTAATGTATCTGTAAGCAAACTATCCACAAGAATTTGAGGTGCTAGCGAATCCGGATAACGATTGCTGTCTTGACCTATGTTTTCCACAAAGTTGTACAGTGTGCGTCACAATTATTGGCGCATGTTATTCTAAGCATACGAACATACCGGCTCAGCGACGGATAAGCTTGATTTTGTTTTCTTGATTATCATTGTAACTTACCCGAAAATCTCACAGATAAGTCCTCCCATCAGGTAATCCCGTCTACAGATAAGTCCGGCGTCAGATAAGTCCGCTTTTTTGACACGAATAAGGACCTTCAGATAAGTCCACTCTCTTTTCATTATAACTACCTTGAAATTTTGTCAGGTAAGTCCGGCGTCCGGACTACTGTAGGCGGACTTACCTGGTTGGAGGATTTATCTGCAAGATTCTTGGCGGTGCGAGAGTGCATTTTTTTCATCGATTTTTCTTGTCAAAAAAGGAAACTTATCTGTAAGATTTTGGGGTAGCTTAAAGATAAGAATTTGTCTATTCTTTTCGATGATTCATTATATCTCCAAGTTTTTACGTCCCTCTCGCGCGTAAAGGCTCACAAACTTGTGCAGCATCAACATTTGATTAACTTTTCTCTCAGGTGCAGTAAGATAGAGTTGACTTTTAGCTTTGAAACACTGGTTATCGGAATGTTCAAGAGAGTTCAAAACGAAAATCATAATTCTTCAATTGTATGCGTCAGCATGCGTTTTTTCTTTCAAGAGTATTGTCTTGCAGTTTTTTCTTCTCTAACCAAGGACCATTTTAGGATGTCATGACTGCTTCTTATAGAGTATTCTGTAAGTAAAATCCAGGTCAATTTCCTGACTGGTTTTATAGTGCTACTTTGAATATTTTAACGCAAGTACTTCACGCACTCTGTACTTTTGAATTCATAAGTCATAACAAAACCAATGCCAACCGCTCCATTCGCGTCCAACATCGCTCAATGGCGGAACTTCACTCTCAGTTGTAGCTTCATCAGGAAATAGAAGACGATTTACTCGATCCTGCCGATCACTCATAAAATAACCGTAACCACCCTGCAAAGCATAAAAATTCATTATCTATCTTTGCTGTACGCCATTTTCAAAAGTCACAAATTGTTCTTATCTACATTTTCAACAAGGAGAGATCCGATCTGATAAGGCAGCTGAAACGACATATGTATATATTAGGTTGGCCCGAAAGTTCTGTCGCATCATTTTCAAAAATTCATAACTTCTGATTTTTCCAACCGATTTGACTGCTTTTATTTTTGTGTGAAAGAGTAAGTCATGCTCTTTATTACATCTTTGCTGCTTACTAATGGTCATCTGTTGGAGAGATAGGAGCGATAGAAGAAAATTAGTCAGAATTCGAATTTTCTGTGTAGGGTCATAAAAATTCGGAGACTTGCAACAAAAATCGGAGCAGTTAGTATTGTAGGTTCTTTCTCCAGCTCTTGCTAACTGTGGAAAATTTGCGCCAATTGAGCGCCTCTATGGAAAGTTACGATTTTCATGAAAAATGCCAAATTAAATCAAATTCGCTCTTTTGTATTGCGTGCTCAAAAATCATAACTTTCCATAGAGATGCTCAATCGGCGCAACCTTTGCACAGTTAGCAAGAGCTGGTGAAAGAACCTACAATACTGACTGCTCCGATTTTTGTTGCAGGTCTCCGATTTTTTATGACCCTACATAGAAAATTCGAATTTTGACTATTTTTCTTTTATCGCTTTTATCTATGAAATGTATGCTTATCAGAAAGCCGTTAAGGCGCCTGTACAAAGAGAATGAACTGCTCTTTTATGTAAAAAATAAAAAATTGCAAATCGGTCTAAAAATCAGAAGTTATGAATTTTTAAAAATGGTGCGACAGAACTTTCGGGCCAACCTAATATACAGGTTGTCCCAAAAAATATGCACACTGTTTGATTGTAAATAACTCTTATAATTAAGTGTTTCGAGAAAGTTTAGGAACCATTTTGTAGAGCGAGGTTCAACTTAGATATACAGTGTAGAGCGATTCGCCGACCGCTCATGCTGACTGTAGCATTACGGTAGAAACCTTGAAGAGGGTTTTGAGCCATGAAAGGCCATATTTTGTTCCAAAAAAGAACCAAAACAACCTGAAGACTCTCACACTGGGCTAATTAGAGTTGCTGATTCTGAATGTGAAATTCGCAACTTTTCGTAATGCTTCATTAAAAAATTATGCGAGGTAAGCAATAGCGGCTTTTTTTTCAATTTCCTAAAAAATGCGGTTACACCGTTTAGAAAGCTTCGCAATCCTGTGAAGAGTTGGATATTAAACTCAGCGTCCATGAAAACCCTATTACACAAGTTTCCACATTTTTTGAAAATTTTTGAAACGGCCGCTTTTTTCACAGTGACACCATATGCTTGAAGTTTCTACCGTAATCCTACAGTAAGAATGAGCAATCGGCGATTCGCTCTACACTGTAAACTTAAGTTGAATTTCGCTCTACAGAATGATACCTGAAGCTTCTCGAAACACTTCATTACGAGAGAGTTATTTATAATTAAACAGTGTGCACATTTTTTGGGACACCCTGTATAATTTTAAAAGCCAGTCCCCGCATTATGTGCTGAACATTAGTCGTCTTCTTATTGAACGCTTCTTATTGCAAAGGAAACATGAGCATTTCGACTAAAAAAGACTCAAGACAGTACATAATCATTTTTTATTGCTCCAACCTGAGAGCGATGAATAAAATGACGCAATGCACAAGACCCTTTCTGTATAGCTAACAACTATATTTTACTACATCACTTCAACCTTGCATTCAGATCTTGATCTCAAGGTTATTCTTACACCAGGTTACTCAGTAGATTACTGAAAAACAGATATCCAAATCTTTTATTTGGTACCACTTAGAGTAAATACTTGTATTGTCTTCCTGCACAACAATAGTCCACATATTTCACGAACGCGATCGCATTAGCCTACATTTAACAAGATTCCATTGTGTCATAAACTATGACTGATGATCAACGTTGAGATAGAGATGTACCATTAGCAACTGCATGACGCCCCTCCCCCTCCTTTCTGAAACTTCATATCCACAGCTCAACAGTATCGATCACGCCTACTGATGGTAGGTAAGATGTCGCCTTTCGGTGGTAAGAGACCAACTTGTGAGAACAAGGGTGCATGATATATGAAAGAAAACGAAGAAATAAAGGACCTTTCTCTCCCCTTTAGCATAGTTTCGGGCGGTTACACGGTCGAGTATGCTCCATCATAGCTACTGTATACCTCGATGAATCCTACAGAGACCTTGGATTGGCATATTCCCTGAACCACAAGCCGAGGCAGCGCCTAGAGCGCGTGCAATAAATCTACAGTAGATATGAAAGTGTCCAAAAATTAACTTAAAAGCAAGTACCCAAAGAAACCCTGCCTCTGAAGAACAGGTGTAGAAGGTGGTTTCCCACCTCCCACCACAGGCTGGTCCATATATGGTAACACGTGCTGCGGAAAATATATTTTTGGTCAATTTCATGCATGTTTTGATGATAATACTTTGCTTCATATTAGTTGATCTGACAGAAAAATTTATTAGCCACAGTCCCTCTCAGAACCGCTAATCGCACTTTACTTTGGAAAGAAAGCATCGGAAGGCCAATCTGCACAAATCAACTTTCGGGCGTCAAAAAATGTTTGGACTTCTATTTGCCTAATCTTGAACCCACGTGTTTCATTCTCTGTCTACTCTTCAAAAAAAAAACTTACTATCAAAAACCCAGTCACTCGTTCTGCTAAAAAGAGGAGTGAAAACCACACGCATCGTGAAAATTTCCCGGAAGTGAAAAAATAACTTTACGAAAGCCAGAGGAGGATGTCTTCGAAGTCTTTTGTGAGATCCGATACAGAATCTTCTTGTTTATCAGATAAATAGAAAATATTCCAGTTTTGCTGAGTCCCTGCGAAGTAAGGATTTTTTTCGGCATACACTTCACATGGATCACATTGTACAACACAAAGATGGTTTTAACTTAGGGTTCAAAATATCCGTGTATCTCCAAAGCAGGTACGAGTAATACGTAATCAGAGCTGAAGGGACGATCCAATGCTGGATTTGAGTTGAAAATGTTCAAGAGAAGTGGAACACAAGAATTAGTAGAGAAAAAGGATAGAAATTCTCCGTCAAAGAGATTAACTTCTTTATCTTTTACTTCCTCTCGGCTTGCTTCGCATACTTCTTCCGTATATTGTACTTTGATTCGCCTTCAAAAATGCGTTTATCATTTACAATTCGATCTTCTTATCTATGGAAGATGAAGAAAATGGCTCAATCCACTTGGTAGTGCTAGCTCCTCTGCGACTGCATTTAGAAGCGACGCAACGCAAATGGCCCTCAGGATATACCACAGGCAAATGCGGCATAGTTTTGCTCCATAACGCGGCGCCGCCAAATTTTTTATTGTGTACGAACTGATTAGCCTGGATATGCGTTCATGGCAATTCATGAATGCAAGCGAAAGAGGTAAATAGATATCGCGATAGATAGAATTCAGCTGCGGTTCTAAATTTGTTGTCTGATATATCGTGTGGGTCGCTAACTTGAATGAACACGCATTATCATCGCGTAAAAGAAATGAGAGAAACGTCGCACGCAGAGAGGTGAAGCTGTGTAATGTGTATTTGATTCTACCAAAATGGCCAAAGAAAGTGAAAAATTACTAGAGTAGAGTTAGAGGAGGAGGCATCTTTCATTGACTTATCGCCGACAGCACAGAAAATCCTAGGTTTCAATAAGCAAAGTTTTTTTTTGCAAGATTGTGCCTTCAACGTTCCGTAGTTGACAAAGTCGTCCGAAAAGACAGTGTGCTTAGCGACGAGATTTACTGGGCCCTCAATATCGCGTTAGGCCCCATCGAACTTGCTGAAGACTGTGCGAAAGCAGATGCCCAAAAATTTTGGACGCAACCGGATGGTTGAGAGCATACTGATTACGTGTAACACTGATAAAATAGCTCTGAAGTTGGGTTCATGAGAAACGAATAAATGTGTGTCTAGATTATACAAGATTCAAACGGCTTATACACGATGAAATGATGAATAAATAAATAAATAAATAAATAAAATAGATCTAGAATGTGATATTTTAGCAGTGAGTACGAGGATGAATCGAAACAAGACTATAGTAGGAAAGACTGCAACGATCTCTAGACAGATTTGAGAAAAATTTGTTAACTCGTTCTCCGTCAGTTGCAATTTTGTTGCTTAACAGCTGTTTGTGTCATTTAATTGGAAAATCAGCATAAAGGTTCAAACAAAATTCGTTGGCCACATATTTAGTTTAGTGATTTTGCGAAACTTTTGTAGAAGTATTTTGCCCACATTTATCTAGCTTGTCCTGGAATTATTTCAGCAATTTTTGAACTTAGAATTATTTCAGCAATTTTTGAACTTACGTGGCTAGCAATATGTTCGGAACTGTAGACATCAGGGACAATGACGGAGCCTCCGTAGATGATAGCTTTTGAAGGCCTTGACGGTATTTGTGCAGGGAAGTCTTCTCCACCCAACTTTTTCTCATGCTTTATGAGGTTCATCTGAATTTGAATATCATGGTTTTGGTACGGACATGTTTAGGTTTTCAATGTCACTTCTGGTCAAAACCAGTACTTTTGTTCTAGATGGTTCATCTTCATGTCCAAACTGAAAATGAATCGTCTCCTGGGTGACTTTAAGATGTTTCGCATACACAAGTGTCCTTCTAAATGAAAACTATGGTAGTCTCGACGGGTCGCAAAAAATTTTCGAAGTCTACACGGGTATTAAATCGTGCAAAAACTTGATCTTAACTTTCTATATTTGATGCTTGGGAGTGGTATTGCACCACTTCAAATGTGAATAGGTGAATTTGTTCATACGAGCAAACCTGATATTTCTGAAAAACTTGAGCGGTCAATTCCCACTAGACAATATTAAAGTTGCAAGTACAGCACACATATTTATAAGGTACCCCGATATTGCTCAAATTACTTATTACGGAAAAACACTTATCACGGAAATCAAATCACTTACTTATCACTTCACTCAGAAAAAAGAATTCTTATAGCCAATTTCATTTGGAAGATTATCGAAAACCTCAGTGCAGCATACGCTATCAACAAGGCTTCGTCGCTTTTCTCGGCAACCCAAGCATGGGTCGTTCTTGTAAGCGTCAATGCATGAACTGGCCACCAGTTCAATAGGTAAAACATTATTTCGCTTCAATACAATACTTCTTCTCTTTTTCATTCCCAGGTTTTCCGCAAACTTGTAACCTTGAGCCCGAAAAAGGAAATGACGCAGCCATACCCCATAAAAAATTTTCAGAGCTGATGGTTCGAGAAAATTGTAGGAATTCCAACATCTACAGATAAACACGTGTACGGCAGTGGCATATAAGGCTAAACTCTCTCCTGTGTATCAGCAGAGCAGTGGAACTTCTTCCCCGGGTACGCGGCCTCAGCAAATTTCACGTCCGAAAACCAGTTTCAAGACTTGACAGCTCCAAACTGACCGAAACGACACACAGGTGGACTAATCGCATTATGGATTAGCTTGCTTTCTAAGACATCAGAAAGCCGCACTATCGCCATTTGACTGCACAAGCGGTAAGGTCAGCTAACAAAGGAAGTTTACATTACCATCGAATCCGAAGGTAGAAGAGTGGAAATCCACATTTATTCTGCTCAAAAATTCCTTACATATCACATTTCATTCTTGTATGAACCGCATAGGAATAGGAATAGATATTATAACTTAACTATATAGCAGCGCAAAATAACTTTGTAGCAATAAGTAGAAGACAATGGGGATGCGCATAATTACTATGATTGGGCAAGCAAGATTTAATCTGACAAAACAACAAGATCTTCCGTAGAATGGTCATCTTTCCAGACATTCTCCACTTCGCTCATAACGCGAAGACACTTCTCCTCCTCATACGGCAGCGTCACCACCTGGACGGAAAGAGGCAAGCCAACACTTTTTGAAGCAGCATCACGCATGGTTTTCAGAACGATGTTGTAACCTAAAAATCAGAAAACTAAATGCAAATTCCGCAATACCGTTTTTTCTTGCAGATTACCAGTGGGGTATTTAGCTTCATTCAACAAATCGTCGTCGTCCTGTGCAGTCACCTTTCCCGCGGGTACAGCACCAGCAGGGAAATCCAACAAATTGAAAAGGGCTGTATAAGTTGCTGCGGTTGACATTCTCGAAGGATATTGATGTGGAACTGCCGGGACTTAAAGAATGGTTAACAATCATCAGTCCCTTTTTGAAAAAGGAAGATTGAATAAAGGTTCACACAATGGAACAACTAACCAGGGAAAGTCGGACAGATTAGAGCATCGATACCTAATCTTTTCCAGTACTCGGTGAACTGCAAATTCGTAAATTAGGCAATTCCATGAAAAAGGCGGAATATATTACCCTGATGCAATCGATAAACCCTTTGAACCAACGGGATTGGCGGCTGGAAGGCGGGGTTTCAAAATCCAATCAAAGCTAGAGAATGATAAGATACATGCCCGCGAGAGAAACGCTGACTGCTTGGTGCGAGCGGTCGCCTTCCAGCCGCCAATCCCGTTGAATCGAAGGGTAGCTTATTAAATGTCTGCTACAGGGTTTATCAATTGCAGAGTCGGATGCACCAGTATCTCCGCTCCCGCGCGGCCGCTTCTCCTGCATTCTGCTCCTCTTTCGCGAACGTGCTCTCTTATCACTTCCCCACCACAAGCGTGGGAAAGGCGGAGCTTCAATTATTGATTAAGCGTGCGAAATTGATTAGAGAGCATGTTCGCGAAAGAGGTGGAGTCCACGCGAGAAGGCCACGTGGAAGCCGAGATGCTGGAGCACCCAACTCTGCAATTGTTAAGCCCTATAAATGTGTATCATATGCTATCACCCGTCAAGCTGAACCAATTCTTAGTGAGTCTGAAGTATTCGCACCAGAATGGGATAAATTGCCCATCATCTCATACATATATGCGAGACGAGAATAAACAGGCTTACAGAGACAGGAAAAGCAAACTCTAGCAGCAGTATAGTTCGCTCGCAACTCATGAGTCTAGTCTTAGGAAAAAGCCAGAATAATTCACGAGGAAGAAATGACGGTCAACCTTGAGCCTGTAGTCATCACATCGTTCTTGAGTGTACCGCAAATCTTCAAGATTTGAGACATATGCAGAACATAGAGCCGACAGCTGCGGACTGATCTTGTGCAGGAGACACGATGCAACGTAACGTATGCAGCGAGGAATCTAACAATTCATTACACCACTCAGCAATGCTATTATAACTATTAAGCGAGAGCACCTTCAACATCATCACGAACTCCTTCATATACGGATCCACAACGTCATTCCCATATAGAGCTTGCAGATAGCTGCCCCCATCAGAAGTTATAAGCTCAAATGAATTTATACAACAATGGAAGGACAACTCCAATCAACCTACTTTGTAAAGAATCTGCACCATTTCGTCTACATCGGGGACAGTGAATCGAACGAGCTCATGACCTTCTTGCCTTAGACGTTCGACTGTCTCTTGTACACATCTCTTGACGCTATAAATCCAAAACTGATTTCAAAAAATGATAAATTCACCACGAAACGCCTTCATGACATGAGAGACGAGATTCGAAACGTTGATGCAAATCGATTACATGTTTATATGTGGCACTTTCACAATGACTGCTTCAATGATTCGCATTCCTGACCAAAATTGCATAAACTGTCACGGAGCTCTCCTCCTGCATATTTCATGCATGTCGCATCCATCTCAAAGCTCTTTCTTTTTGATTGTCATATGAATTTGAAGTAGATTAGGACAATGGTAGGCATTTGGTTATCAAGGACTTAGAAGAGATAGCTTATTGAGCAATTACAAAGTCTAAACGAACATTAAAAACGAAAGTTTGCAAAGCACTGAATTTGTTCAGCCCATACCATGGAACCGGGGGACAGAATCCGTCATCATCGAAGTAGCCAATACGCAATTTCGCTGTATCATGTAAAATCTAAAAATACACGATTTTTATATAAGACAGGGATGGAAGAAAAAACAGTGAGCGTAATGCATAAGCAAACATGTGAATTACACTCACTTTTTCATTTAGTGGAGCTGGAATGGATCTGGGTACAATTTTTCGATATTCGGGATCACCTATGACATTTCTGAGCAGCGCCACTTGATTCTCTACCGTATGTGTGTAGAAACCAAAACTAAGAGCAAGGCGCGAACGACCTGGCACTCCAGGATGAGTATTTTCCACGACAAAGCGACCTTGAAATGCATATATAGATAGATAGATAAAACGGTGCTTACATCTCTCACCTTCTGTAGGCTTCAAAGTTACAAATCCACAGAAAGCGGCAGGAATACGCAAACTTCCCGCAAGATCACTTCCCGTACCGAATGCAGTGCCACCAGCCATGAAAAGCGCTCCTTCTCCGCCAGAGGAACCTCCCGGTGATCTGAAGAACACTGTACAGCTAACAACATTCACCTTTGATCAAGCACGTAAGTAGCTCCCAAGCTTAGCCTTAGCAAGGTGTTATGGTAATATTGACTCCGGAAAGGAGGCAACTATAAAGAAACCGAAAACTAACAACATATATTTTTTGTCACCTTTTCACATCATGCGGATTCGAAGTAGTCCCGTAAACAGAGTTGGAACACACAAAAGATATGAGGGCTTGCGGTACGTTTGTAATGACAAAAGGGACCTGTAAATGGGCAACTAAGGGAATGGCCATAGATTGTCGGTTTTGTCTGTGTTGTGTGAGTTGTCGGTGTTGTCGGTGTTGTCAGAGTTGCCGGCAGGGTCAGTGGTCAGGCACGCCACACATGATTCAACAATTTTTCCATTGCAATGCCTCACAATTCATTTCCTACAGGCATGTCACACATGTGGGTGGAGGACATTAGGTCGCCGAATTTGGAAGAGTCCCGCGCGGATTCCCTGCAGGAACGCATGTCCGCGCATGTACAAGAGTGCGTATTTGTCGCAAATGACCGCGGGGACCGCCCTTTTTCGGCGACCTAATGTCCTCCACCCCACACATGTCACACCCCACACTTGACTCCGCCGGCAACTCCGACAACACCGACAACACAGACAACATCGACAACACCGTTCCCTAAGGGAACAGCCATAGGTTGTCGGTGTTGTCGGGGTTGTCGGGGTCAGAGACAGTTTAGAGCGCGCGAAACGTGGAAGCTATCATGAGGTCCTACAACGACCGGCAACCTCGGCAACCCGGCAATACCGACAACATCGACAACAACCGACAACACCGACAGCACCGACAACAACCAACAACACCGACAACAACCGACAACCTATGGCCGTTCCCTAATCTGCGAAGTAAGCAGAAGCATACTCACAGCCCCGATATTCCGTAGATGAGTCACAAGGGTGCATTCCTCTAATCTTGGCTGATCAAGGAATTTCGCTAGACCAACGCAGCAGTCGTAACCGGGCATCTGTAGGATACTCATCTTGAGGAGGTACTTTTCCTTTATCCGGAACCCATTTGCAATGCCAAAATTAGAACAAATTTTGCCGAGAGTATCTTACACACTTCATGACGCCTAGGTGAAAAAAAATCCGAATAATGGGGTACGTGGAAAAGCAAAACAACAATGATCAATCAAAACTGAAAAAAAAGTCAATCTTCCTTCTCATACTTACATAGAAGTTGCCTTTGACACTGAACGGGACACCATACAATGGTGGTTTCTGAGTTTTTCCTGACCAGTTCTTATCGGCTTCATTAGCAGTATCGAATGCCTACAGTAAATGAGGGAAGTCAAACTAGAATTAATCGATTATGCAAGATAAGCCCTAAATGCAGTGGTCCGGGAAAATTGCGACTGCGAGCTTTTTACACCTAGATGTCCTTTTGTATGCGCTGAGTCCACTGCTGTGCTTGAAAAGTCAAAAAAGCGCTTTTCACGGCATTCTCCTACCTACAGATAGCTGGAGGGGATGGGCACGGGATTCCTGCCCTAAACAGCGACTGGCTGCAGGAGACTAACTCCATCCATTTTTACGATAACTGGCTGATCGGCTCAGGCAGCCAATCGATGTTGGCGGGATTCCCTCGCCCATCCCCTTCAGCTATCTCCAGGGTAGGAAAACGTGAAAAGCATTTTTTTTACATTTCAAACACAGCACCAGACTTAATTCTGGAGATAGGCCATGTAGGTGTGGAAAGCTCGCGGCCGCTATTCCGAGCCACTGAACTAAATTTACCTCCTTGATCACTTCTATACAACAGTTCAGTCTTTCCTGAACTTCCATGGCCTTCCACACATACGCTTCCAAGGCTTGTGTAGCATTCAGGTCATCTTTTTGTAAGCGATCTGAAAATCGGGTTAGCTACGATGTCCACACAAATCTTTGGGTGAACTGACCTCTGAGTTCAAGCAAAGACCATGAAAGAATTTCCTTCCGCCTCTCAATGACAGCAGTATCATTGGTAGCCACGCGGGAGCGGAACTCGTCAAAACCACTTGCTCTAGTTTTTTCATTCGTTTCGATAGCCTTACGGCACCTAGCCTGTGCTCCCCATGGCTAGAAATCTGTCACTGCGAGAAAAGTCGGTGAGAAATTGTACTCATGAGACTAAAACCCCGTCCAAATTTTAAGCATCCCAATAATGCCCGGGCAATTATGAGGAAACCGAATTTCTAAAAGAGCTATAGAGATGCTCTTGGCAGAGAATTAATCATTAGCGCTACCACTTGACTGGACCTTAAAGCCTCCCAATCAGTTTGCACGTAAAGGTAGGTGCCAGAGTAAGCGAATATTTTGTTCAAGTTGGGGTCCCGCGCAGAACTGGCGTTACTAATCATTGTGGCACAACGCCAAGTTGGCATTATGCCACAATAATTAGTGATGCCAGTTCTGCGCGGGACCCCAACTTGAACAAAATATTCGCTTACTCTGGCACCTACCAAAAGCGCCGTACCCAGTTTGCTACCCAGATTTGCGCGGACACTGCTTGATTACGAGGAAAAGCACAGTATGCTATCAGTATTCTTCATGACGCATATATAGCACTAGCTGGCTTACCCGGCTCCGCCGTATCCGGACCAAACTTGGCATACATACACTTCGAGCCCCGGCGGGTGTCACAGTCCACTTTTCGTTATCGATCGATGTCGATTTTACCGATTTTTATCGATTTTTTTGCAGAGTTCACCTACAGGGCTAGGAGTTGGCACAGGGGGAAAGTGAGCATGGGAATTCCGAATACAATATTAGTTTTCAGAATTATCGATTACTTTTATTGATTTTATCGATTTTTTGTAAATTTTGACATGCGAGGCTGGGATTTTGCACAGGGGGGTAATCGAGCATGCTGATTACGAACACAATATTAGTTTTCAGGATCGTCCATTACTTTTATCGATTTTATCGATTTTTTTGTAAAGTTTGACCTGCGGGGCTGGGAGTTTGCACAGGGGGGGGGGGGGGGTAATCGAGCATGCAGATTACGAATACAATATTATTTTTCAAGATCGTCCATTACTTTTATCGATTTTATCGATTTTTTGAAAATTTGAGCTAGGGGGCTGGAATTTGGCACAGGGGTGTAATCGAGCATGCTGATCACCCCCCTTGGGGATGATCAGCATGCTCGATTACCCCCCTGTGCCAACTCCCAGCCCCCTAGCTCAAACTTTGCAAAAAAATCGATAAAATCGATGAAAGTAATCGATAATCCCGAAAACCAATATTGTATTCGGAATCCCCATGCTCGATTACCCCCCTGTGCCAACTCCCAGCCCCGTAGCTCAAACTTTGCAAAAAATCGATAAAATCGATAAAAGTGATCGATAATCCTTAAAACCAATATTGTATTCGGAATCCCCATGCTCGATTACCCCCCTGTGCCAACTCCCAGCCCCGTAGGTGAACTCAGCAAAAAAATCGATAAAAATCGATAAAATCGATATCGATCGATGACGAAAAGTAGCCTATGACACCCGCCGGGGCCCGTAGCGTATGTGTGCCAAGTTTGGCCCGGATCGGTTCAGAAATGGAATTTTCTATTCGGAACATACGTACATACAGACATACATATCGTCGACTCTAAAAATCGTGACGACGGTCTGCAGTGCGGCCAGTGCGCGCCGCACGGCACTGCCACCTAGTGATTCGCCCAAATTACGTGGAGAAGGTGAGTTCTTGTGGTTTTTCTTTTTCTTTTTGCATCTTTTTTGCTTGCAGGAACTTTCATGGCTACCGCAGGGAGCCTACACTGCAGAGAAGCAAGATTGCCCTACGATAAAGCGGCAGTGCCGTGCGGCGCGCACTGGCCGCACTGCAGACCGTCGTCACGATTTTTAGAGTCGACGATACATATCGTCTGCGCCCCAGAGAGGTTCCCATAGGTACCACGTCATCTCACTGCCTTTCGCGCTTTTGAACATGTTAACCTCGGGCACTTCCGTTGAAATCTTAGGAGAAACGTGTCAAAAAGAGCGGAAGGCAGCGTCGCACCACGTACGCACGCTGGTTCACATGGGAACCTCTCTGGGGTGCACACGGTACATACATACATACAGACAAACAGACATTCAGCTTTATATATAAGATTTCAGATTTCAAATCCGTACTGTATTTTGCATTCAAAATCATCGCGATTGGAGAGCAAGTAAACTGCAAACGTTCCAGAGTGTAAATGCAGAGGACTTTTCCTTATAGAGTCCTATTTCTCTGACAACGATAGAGATAAAAGATTCTACAACGTACTCTGGACTCTATCTGCAAGAGAAGACATAGGTGTGCTTCGCGCCTTGCAATTCAGAAAAAGAAATGGGAAACTGAGATGTCGCAACCAAAATCTGCGCACCTTATCGAAAATGAAGCGCTGAATTGCTAGTAGCACGACATAAACCCAAACGAAGGTGACCGCAAACTGCTGGGCAGTCCACTCCGTCATACTCACCAAAATGTTGCCCATTTTCGCTGTGAAGGATATTCACCCCCTGGAAAAAAAGCTACAGCACCTACAAAGGTGTACCACATGTAGAGGCATACTGGTATTCCACGAAAAATATGATTTCGACAACGTCCATAATTATTTATTTTGAGTACTGAAAATGAAGCGTAAACTATCCTATACATTTAAGACTGAAAACATACACGAACACGATCCCTAACACTTCACACATTGCAAAATTCGGGCAAAAGCAATGGTGTCAGTCAAAAACATCTTCTCGATCAGCAACGTACTGGAATATGTCTCGTGGGGTTTTCAATCGGTCTGCGTCTCCATCGGGGATTTCAAACCTAGAAATTTTCAACTTGTATGCATTAAGGATAGCCGGTTCACAAAAAAGAGTATAATTCTTTTCCATAGGCATAAACCAGCCTTATATACCAAGAAGAGTGTGGGTTATTTGCTAGCATATCCTACAAGATATCTCTAAGGTCTAGCAACTGACATGCGAACAGGCATAACTTGATGGCATTTACTCACCACAAAGATGACGAAAACATTTAGGGAGATAAAGGTACGACTTTATCAGACAAAACTGAGTGACACTAGTCTTTCATCGGCATTTTCCCCGTTCGCCAATGCAAAAACACCAGAAATGTGATGCAAAAGATCTTCCTTCAGTGCAAAAAACGGTGATAGATCAAACAATTTCACTTTTGGTTCCGAGAACCTCACATGACCGTAAAGAGAACTCCTACAAAATTAACTAAGCTTTGTTCTGGGGCTCAACTAGAAAAATAATGGTGACAGCCTAATAAGTTACAGCTGTGACACAATCTAAAACTGGCATTCACTTCTTCACCAATCCCCGCCCCCAGATCGAAGTCGTTTTCTCTCACGTTGGCCCTCATTCACTTTCGAAGCTCGGAAAAGCCGAGATCACTTGCACCAGAAAAGGGCTTAGCTTATCCTCGCAATTGCTCACTTGTCGAGATGCCGCTCACTATACTATACTTTGTACGCAAATAATAATTGTAATTTAGAAGCATTGCAACTGTACGGATGAAGGAAGAGAAATAAGCGAGCGGGTTCTAGTCTCCCTTTGATTTCAATTATAACGACCTCTAACAAACTGCAGGAAACTTAGTAATGTATAGGGCTCTACAAGATCTTGAAGGTCGATGAGTCTGCGATCATTGCTCACGCATGCCCCAAGGCCTCAAACCAGTTTGACAACCCCCGCACATCCATTATCGCTCCAGAATATTACATGCATGACTTCCATGGTAGAAAAGCGCATGACACAAGAAAAAAAACTGAGGAAGCTTAATGTGCTAACAATGGCCCCAAACTCACCGACCTCCACGACCACGCAAAGCCGGGCGGATAACTACACAGCATAACACGAGCCTCTGCAAAGCAAAGATCATGCACTGTTATGTAGGCCTCGGCCAGACTTCGCTCGAAAGCGCCCATATTTCTCTAATCTCTCCTCGCTTTCTGTCTGAAAAGAGATGAAAGAAAGTGAAGAGAGGTTAGAGAAATTCGGGCGCTTCTGGGCGCTTTTGGGTGCTTTCGAGCAAAGTCTGGCCAGTGCGCAGCAAGCAAAAACATAATCGCAGGTTCGAGTCCTCACTATGTCGTCCCGTCTTGTGGAATGCACAGAGTGAGAAATATATTGATGCCGTAACGAGATTTGGGAAGATTACTCACAAAACATTGGTCTCCCGATGCCCACAGATTGTGCATCACCGTTCAAAACATGCATATCAGATTCAGTCGCCCGATCGAATGTATGTTTTCAATGTGAAGCACCCCACTCCCTGGTCCCACATGGTATGCATAGCACGTGCGAAAAGAACAGTACCTTGCAGTTGCGCGACTAGCAAAAGAAGCTACTCCTCTACGGCCTAGGGCTTACTTCCCGCGATTTCATCAAATCATTACATCCACGAGACTTGGTGACTTGCCAGATTTCTACAGATTAACCATGCGCGGGTCGCAACTGCATAGGCCGTAGCTTCTGTAAGTTGCCGCAAAAGCACCAAGCCAGCCTCAAGCAAAGCGTTCTTATTATCAGGCATGGACAGTTGCTGCAGTGCCAAATTGCGTCGCGACTGAAATCGCGTGAAGTATGCCCGGCCCTCTGTGCGCCTAACCGATAGTGTGCGATACCACATGCGAAAGAAACATCGTCTGTGGAGGTGATGTCCAGCACATTTACTGAGCTAACCCGACATCCTTCTTGCATCTTGATGTGCACACGAAGGAAACGCGCAGAGAATGTTGGGGTCCCAACTATTTAATGAACTCCAGAAAGCGATGGTTTCTCACTGGTAGCCAAGGTCAAATTCGACGAAAAAAGCAAAAATAAAATAAAATGAAAAGAGACAACAGAGAGAACGCTCACCCGAACTCCTCCTCCATAGCCATGATTACTTCAACATGGTCTAACGAGTCTAATCCTAGATCCTGGAAATGCGAGGCCTTCAAAGCCAAAGCGATGAAATTACAAAGCAAAATATACCTTGGAAAAATTAGAATCCATTGTAAGCTTCTTGGGGTCTATTTTGTCGTACAAACTTAGTACGAGAATGATGCGCTCCTCAAGAGTTTTCTTCGTAAGCGGAGCCTAGAACTAACTCCTATGCAACTATCTCCGTGACTTCCTAGAAATCCTACCTTATCTGAGTAACACCTAAACTGCGTTTTGGGCTTCGCATAGCTTTTTATGCTTACAGGTCGAATTGCCACAGAAGAGCTGGCTTGAAAAATTTTACGAGACGCAAACTGCAGCAAAACAGGTCTCGAAGTAAAAAACACTTGTTTGAGCATCTCTGTAACCTGAAATTAGAATTACGCCTAATGTTTTGGAAGCAAGTCGGTGCACTGCTCTAGACAAATGTTGAACTTAACCGTAATCAGATTCTAACAAGGCGATATAGAGTAACAAAGAATACACTTATAATGCAGAAGATATTGGTATAAAAAACGGTAGACATAAACAACTACAAATAATTTTGCACCGCTTAGCACACTCTTGCATATCGTCTTGCAAAAATTGCGTGGATTACGATGTTTGCGCGTACGCAATTCAACACATTTCAAAAAGCTGATTGCAGAAATCGGCAAACTAGATCAAGAGCGTGAGCTAGCCGACTTGTTTTCTCTGCTGACCTAAGAAAAACCAGGTATATAACTTCTGTCTGCACAGTGTTAGACTTTTTTTTGTCGTTAACCAGGAGTCGATTTGTACAAAATTGCGAAAACTTCCAGTTTTTGGCAGAGGAGTCACTGGTAACCTCTGACTCGTTTTTGATCTACGGTATAGTCTTTGTCAATGGCGTGCTCACTTTTCTACAGGCGTGGATTTGCAAAGCCGCACCAGATTAACCGGAGCCGCATTTGCGGGCATTTCGGCTGGGTATTTTGCAACTTTCGCCTGATGATGCCTGTTTGAGGCTTGAATCCTTCTTTTATTCAAAAAGTCCCTTTTTCCTGCCGCGCAAATTGTTGACATGTTTCCCCATATCCTAATGAGTAGCTCATCTTTTCTTCGTTCAAATACGGATGTTTCAATCTCGATTCAATATGAGTGATCTGTTGTTTCTACTAGGTTGTCCCAGAAGTTCTGTCGTCATTTTTGAAAAATCATAACATTACGCTGTCTAAACGGATTTACTTTCTTATAATTTTACTAGGAAGAGTAAGTCTTTCGCTTTCGAAAGCTGTTTTGAACTTGCGTTTCACACTGGGCGCGGAGATAAAAATGGAAAACAAGACCATATAAGCTTTGACCATTTTAAGTTAAGTCACCAAAAATCTGGAGCGCTGCAGAAAAATCTAAAATCTTCAGCACATATGTTTTTTGGCCTACTCTTTCCAACTGGGAAAGATTTGTGTTGTTTGGACGTCTCTTTAAAAAGTTATAATTTTCGAAAAAAGTGTCATATAATTAATTTTGGCGTTTTCTGTAGTAAACTGGTAATTGGTAACTTCTCACGGAGAGTTCAAACGAGACAAATTTTTCACAGTTGGAAGGAGTCCGTCTAAAAACTTATGTATTGACGATTTCAGATTTTTCTGCAGCTTTCCACATTTTTGACGACCTAAGTTAAAATGATTAAAGTTTATAAGGCCTTCTGTTTCCATTTTTATCTCTGCAGCCAGTGCGTAGCAGAAGCTCTACAAAACAACATTCGAAAGCGAGAGGTTCACTCTTTCGAATAAAAGTAAAGAGAAATATATCCGTTGAGATAACGCAAAGTTATGATTTTTTCAAAAATGAAACGACAGAACTTTCGGTACAGCCTAATAAATGTCATGCGCGTATAGGCAGCCATCCAGAGACTAGAATACTGAAGAACACTTTGCAGCTTGTGATCAACGTACTATTAGTGCTTTACAACAGTGGCCACCCCCCCCCTCCCGAGAATGGGTCGCGAAATTTCTGAAAGTTACCTCTATGTGTTACAAATTGTGCAAGCGACTTCTTCATACTTGCCAATCTGACCTTACAGGAAAATTCTCTTTGGAGGCGTGGCTGGCCCTATATTACACATTGTTTCGGGGTTATGATCCCGCAATAATTTCAGGAAGCATACGAAGAGATTTTTTGGGCCGTGGCTGGGCCACGTACCTTCATCAGAGAAAAAGTTTATACCCCCCCCCCGAACGGAAATCCTGGGCACGCCACTGGTTCTAATGAGTTACCACTTGCAATCAGCGAGGAATCAATTCATGCTAGTTAGAAAACGCGTGCATTACGGGTGTCGTGCATCCCCCAGAATCTTATATATAAAGCTGAATGTCTGTTTGTCTGTATGTCTGTCTGTCTGTCTGTATGTATGTATGTATGTACGTATGTTCCGAATAGAAAATTCCATTTCTGAACCGATCCGGACCAAACTTGGCACACATACACTTCGGGCCCCGGCGGGTGTCATAGGCTACTTTTCGTATCGATCGATATCGATTTTATCGATTTTTTGCAAAATTTGAGCTACGGGGCTGGGAGTTGGCACAGGGGGGGGGGTAAGTGAGCATGCTGATTACGAGTACAATATTAGTTTTTAAAATCGTGCATTACTTTTATCGATTTTATCGATTTTTTTGCAAAGTTTGAGCTACGGGGCTGGGACTGCAAATTTGGTAAAGCGCAATGATTGCCGACAAGCATGAGAATATTTGGAGTTTCGATCTCCTCTAATGACTTTGCAGGATAGCATTTCGAGGTTTCCTATTGGTTAATTCGTGGTTTCGTTGGGAAAATGATGTGAAGCTGCTGATTAGCTGGTGTCATGAAAACGCAGTTAACATGATGGTTTCGACCAGATTACTACCACTCCAGCAAATTTAAGGCGCTTATTTGAAGTTAACATGTCGAAATGGTCGAAAGACAGCCATGTTGTTGGTTTATACGGGAATAATTCTGGGGATTACAATTACACCATGTATGGGGTATCTCTCAATACATTAAATGGCATTGAAACGATTAGAGAATATTCATTCCCGCTTACATGCTAGTTCCATTCAGTACTTGTAGAAATGCTGAGTGATCTAATCAAGTTAACGAGGATGGTCAAAAAGCCTTCCTTTTTTTTCAATAACATAATGGCTACGGCACAACGAAGGCGCCGAAGCGGTATTAGTTGAGCGGGCGCGAACGCAGCGCGTACCTTTCCCTTGTAAAACCTGCGCCTCATGCACTCCGCCTAATGAAGCCGCGTTCGCGCCCGAGGGTATTGCGACTTTGTCATGATGGCTTCTAGACTGAAGCTTCTTCCATACACAGTACTCGTACCTAGAGCCACAAATGTCTACGAAAAGCGCGCCATGACCCAATACAATTGCGTTCCGGGCGGGACTCTTGTCGATAAAGCATGCACACCTCATAATCTTCATTGTGAAATAATTCAATGTCATAGTCAACTTGATCGAGGGAAATAATTAATGCGTGTGCTATACTTGGGACCGAATCGAATAAATATTCGATCATTCGAATAAATCATTCGAATGCGAATGATTCGAAAAGTCGAATATTCGAAAATCTGAGATTTCGAATAAAATTCGAAAGTCGAATATTCGAAATTTTTAGTTTTCGAATATATTCGATAATCGAATATTCGAAAATCTTCATTTTCGAATACTATTCGAAAGTCGAATATTCGAAAATCTTGAATTTCGAATATTATTCGATAGTCGGATATTCGAAGGTCATTCATTCGATCATTCGATGTCCATCAAATATTCGAATATTCGTCGAGCACCGAATATTCGAGAATTCGATAAGAATTGACTATTCGAAAATTCGATAAGCACCGAATATTCGAGAATTCGATATGCATAGCGTATGCGGGGTGTCTTAAAAGTATCTACACACCGTTTGATCGCTAATACCTCTCAAAGTCTTTTGCCAATTTCTGGGTAACATCCAATAGGGATGGCTTCATCTTATAAATACAGCAGAAAGCAAATCACCCATGTTTTTTTTATTGTGTTATCACAGTAGGAAACTCCAGCTTATAGACCAACTGCAAAATAAGACATTCAAAAAAATTGTCCCCAAAAAAGGTCTTATGCTGATTTTACTACGCACGAGTTTTCAAGCTTTTCAAATGGCAATCACATTTTTGAAAGGCGTCGCAAAACACTTGTTGCGGTGTATCGTTTGTTCCCCAGCAAAATTTCCATAGGTATCACCACGTCATGTCGCTGCCTTTCGCTATTTTGAACGTGTCAACCTCGGGCATTTCCGTTGAAATCTCAGGAGAAACGTGCCAAAAAGGGCAAAAGGCAGCGTCGCACCACGTACGCAGCTGATTCACATGGAAACTTTTCTGGGGCACACAGGATACCTGGCGTAGGTTTTAAAAAGCATTACGGTTGAGTGCAAATTCTACATAAAGTGAGTGTCTTTAGAAATCTAAAGCAAGACTTCCAGCCCTTTTGATTCTTTTTCTTGGGGAAATGGCTCTTGATGTTTTGAAACCCACTTCAGTCCTACGGTAATTTTACAATAGTGAAAAGCGATTGATAAATCGCCCCATACTCTAAGTTGATGTCAGCCTACAGATCTACATATGTTGGGACCGCTGTATACCCAATCGCAACTCTCAGTGAGGGTATATAATCTTCTTTGAAGTACGAAAAATCTTTTCACAACCATCATAAGAGTAGCTTGGTTCCTAAGTCTCTCTCTTCACGTCACGACTAAACCGTTTTTCCATCGTAAATTGTACCATAAGAATGTGTCCATTCTTATCATTTACATGAAACAATTTATTCTTAGCGTTTTGGCCTTTCATAGGCAATCTCAATGATGTAAATTATTCGGTCAGTATTCGAAAATCGAATGATATTCGGAAATCGAATAACATTCGAGAACCGAATAATATTCGAAATTCGAATAACGAATGATATTCGATATTCGAATAATATTCGATTCGAAGTTTTCATTTTCGAATAATATTCGATAGTCGAATATTCGAAATTTCCGATTTTCGAATAATATTCGATAGTCGAATATTCGAGAACTTCGATTTTCGAATATTATTCGATATTCGAATATTCGAAATTTTCAATTTTAGAATATATTCGATATTCGAATATTCGAAAAAAATTTCGAATTTCCCCAAGTATAGCGTGTGCCCAACAAGGGAACGATACTCGGTGTCCGTGGCCTTTTGAGATGAGATGTATACCATTACACTCGTCTTGGAACGCTGATTCCGAATCTTACTTTCGTTTCTGCTAATCGCTTCAAAGGTGTTATCATGGATCGCGCGGAGTTTGGCTGCCCAGTGAAATACTGTCGGACCGCGAATGCCACAGGTGCGCTCTAGCCTAGTGGTTAGTGCGATA